TGTATGTCACATATATAAGTTTGTATATCATGTTCGGTCATCATATGTTGAGTATTCCCTTATGTTTTATTATTGTTATCTCATGACATGTTTTCTATCTCATTTACCCTTGATAGTATGATAAGAAAGATATGTTACGTTGGTACTCGGTTGAGTAAGGCACCGGGTGCCCGTCGCGGCCCTTCGGTTTGGGTCGTGACATTTACTGTGAAAGGATTTTTGGGAAAAGTTGCAGTTTTCAAACTTACTTATATTTTTGATGATTTCGATAAAGGATTTGGGTTTTTATTGGTATACTTGAAAACCGGAACTGTTTTCGGAAAACTATGAAAAAGCTGAGCACTTTACCTCTGAGTTATTTCTTTATTTATTTGCTTTACACTGTTATGAACTTCTATTTGGTTATTGGTGTTGGACCCGACCTATGTCCCAGCTCATCACTGCTTTCAACCTGAGGTTAGGTTTGTTATTTTTTGAGTACATGGGGTCGGTTGTACTTATACTACACTTCCTGCACATTGCGTGTAGATTTCGTATGCCGATGTTGCTGTGCATGGCGGGAGTTAGCATTGAAGGTGTATCTGCATTCCTGTTGTGGCTGCCTCTTGATCATGGTAGCCTTAGATTATAAAACTCTATTTATCTACCTTTCAAACAGAAGATGTATTAACTTCATATCAACTTTTGAAAATTCTACTTTTAGAAGCTCGGGATTTGTACTACCAGTCCTTGGGAAATGTAATAGATCCAGATAATTTATTCTGTTTAATTGACTTGTTAACATTATTGAAATTGAATAGTTATTAGTTGGCTTACCTAGCGGGTTGGGTTAGATGCCATCACGACTAGTGGATTTGGGTCATGACACATTTGTGAGCTTCATCATTGCTTTTGCGAAGAGCATTGTGGCCTGAAGAGTTCACATTTGCGAAATTCCCATCGCACTTGCGATACTGGCCTGGGCACTTATTGCATTTTCAATCACTTCGATTGCTTTTGCGAAGGTCCACTATTCACAATTACGAACTTCTCATCATTTTTGCGATGACAGTAGGGGTGGGAAGAGTTTCGCTTTTGCAATAATTTCTTCGCATTTGCAGGGTTCGCAAATTGCATTTGCGAATCCTGCGATTGGACAAAAAGTTGAGGGACGGGATTTTTAACCTCATTTTCATATTTTGGAACCCTAGACTCGGTAGGAGGAGATTTTGAAGGGGGATTTTCATCTAGAAACTTTGGGTAAGTAATTCTAATCTATTTCTAGTCATATTCCATCAATATATCTTAGATTTTAACATCAAAAATCATGTGAATAAAAGTGAAAATTTATGAAACTTTGTCAAGTTTTTAAAAAATACGAATTTGAGTTTTGAGAGTCGGTTTGGACTTGGATTTTGAAACTAATCACATATATGAACTCGTGGGGTCATGGGAAGTCGGAATCTACCATTGGACCCGGGTTTTGGCCGGCTAGTCCTGGTGTGTCCTTTGTTGACTTTTGAGCAGTTGTGTAAAGATCATAGCTTTAATTATTGAAATTAATTTCTCTTGCATTATTTGATGTTACTGAGTCGATTTTGGTTAGATTTGAGCCGAGCGGAGGTGAATTTTAAAGGAAAAGCTATTTTAGAGTGTTGATTGATGGCTTTTGAGGTAAGTATCTTGCCTAACATTGTGTGGGAATTACCCCGTAAGGAATGGCTGTTGTACTATTTGAACTATGTGAAAGACCTGTACACGAGGTGACGAGTGTGTCTACGGCTTATATGTGAAAGTTTGACCGGCTTAGACTCTTAGGTTCTTATGTACATTAAAATAAAGTTTTCTTATCATGCTAAATTCTCAATTTGCTAAATTCATCCTTACATGTCTTAGTTGAAGTTGATTAGTTCATGTTCCACCCTTTATTGCCAAATATACTCTTATATGCCTTAATTGAAGTTGTTACCTCTTTTATTGCCATGTATCTCTTCCGTAGTTGATTATACTTAATTAAAGTATTTTTACCTCTTCCATTGTTGGCTTATCCTTATTTTGAAGTCATTGTTACATGCTATCTCTCTTATTGTTGAGTTGTTCTTAATTGGAATCATCGTTACATGTTATCTCTCTTATCTTTGAGTTGTACTTATTTGGAATCATTATTACATGTTAACTCCCTTATCGTTGAGTTGTACTTATTTAGAATCATCATTACATGTTATCTCTTTTATCGTTAGGGTCACTCTTATTTGGAATCATTGTTGAGTTATTCTTGTTCAAACGATAATTGCTTATCATGTCTTTCATTGCAAGACGTTCTTCCGTTTCTTTTTGTTTTGTAATTCTTATGTTGATTTACTTGTCATCCTCTCGTGTTATTGTTGTTGTTATTGCACTCAGTGTCGTTAAGCTGAGGGCTCTGTGTAGTTGTGCTATTGAAATTGTTTTAAGAAAATATTGTGGCATATGTGCACATGTGGGCGTTTGTTATATTGTGTTATTATGTCTTTAGCACACGTGATATTGTTGAGAGGATTGTCGGGCTGTTCGCACGTGAGGTATCCGTGCTAATGTTATTGATAATTGCACATGCGGCGTGACAAGGCGGGCTATATATATATATATATATATATATATATATATATATATATATATATATATATATGTGTGTGTGTGTATGTGTGTGTGTGTGTGTGTGTGTGTGTGTGTGTGTCTATATGTGTGTGGGGGGGGAAGGGTTTGGACAGGTGACGAGACAAGGTGGGAATATTATTATGCGTGTGTGGCAAGACAAGGCGGGCATTTACTTTATTATTGCGCACGCGGCGAGACAAGGAGAGCTATATCGGGAATGATTTGTGATGACTTATGATGGCTTGGGGCATTGTTATTGATGATATTTCTGTAGTGGTGTGCTTACCTTGTGTGAATTATGCATTTTACATTTTGTTGTGTTGTAAATGTGTCATTCGTTGTCTCTGCTCTTACTTGTTGACTCGAGTTATGATAGAACACTTGCACAAGCATACACGTAATAAATCACTCATATCGGTTTAAGAAGATGAATTCTGACGTTTATTGATCATTTACATGTTTGCCTTCTGTGTGAAAGTTGTACTATTGGCACGTGAATTGTCGTTATGAGTTATTGACATTGCTGGCATGTGAGTTGTTCATGTCGATATGAGATATTGTCACTCCCTTAGCACGTGAGTTGTCCGTGCAGATATGAGATATTAATGGTATTGGCACGTGAGTTGACCGTGCAGCACGTGAGTTATCCATGCGGTTGTGATTTGTAATGTTGGCACAAGATGCCAAGTGAATAGGGTTCGTGAATTGGGATCCGTGATTTGTGATTATGAGGTGTGGTATCTCGGAAAAATTCTTGAATAAATCATATGTGAAAGCGATTATTCTTATTGAGTTGTTACTTATTTTCCTTACTTAGTTTCACCGGACTTAAATTGTATTCAGTTGACTCTACGACGTTATTACCTGTTGTGCCTTGTTGCTAATTATTGCCTCTGGTTTTCTATTGCAGGTATTGTTTTGTTATTTTTACCATGCTTAGTTTTATATTGATATTGTTCCATGTTAGTTTCAAATTCGTACTTGTATAGGTTATTATGTCTAGTAGGTGTCTTGACTATTCCTCGTCACTACTCCACCGAAATTAGTGTTGATACTTACTGGGTACCCTGTGGTGTACTCATGTTATGCTTCTGCACATTTTTGTGCAGATCCACGTACTTCGGAGTTTATTGATCGTTAGCTAGCTGATCGGGCATTGTGGTGGAGACTTCAAGGTATACCTACCGTCGCGTTCGCAGACCTAGGAGTCACCTTCTGAAGTTTTATTTTGTACAGTTTATTTCTATTCCGGAACAGTTGTACTTAGAAATTTTCTAGTGAACTCAGAAGAGCTTATGACTTGTACTACCCATGTTGGGATATTGTATCATGTTGGGATTATTGGCTTTATATAGAAATATATGGTTTATGTTTAATAGTTGTTTGGGTTAAATTCGGTCATTTAATTCAGTAAGTGATAGGCTTACCTAATCTTAGAGACTAAGTGCCATCACGACATCCTAAGGTGGGAAATCGGGATCGTGAAAATAAGTACTTGATATTTTTTTTCCCATTAAAATTAGGCATATGAAAAAAACCACCTAGTTTTTTGTTTATATAGGTATTTGAACACGTTTGCTTGTGGTTATCTGAAAAATAGAACTTATGTATTATTATTTATTTTTTTTTTGGATAAAGAGAACTTATGTATTGCTCATGCTAATGTTGTGTCCAAAAAGAAAGAATACATAAAAATCATTAAGATTCGTCTACTTCGTTTTTGCTTTTGTTTTCTGTTTCGGGGTTGGAGGGAGATAAGAAAGAATTACCAAAATTGGGGTTAATTTAATATAGTTGTCGACTTGTCGTGCAGTATGACTATGAACCAACCTAATTGGCAACCAACAATGAATTAACGCTAACAAACAGGAAACAACTTGCATGTGGCATTGAACAAAACTCAGTCTCCTCTTAATTTAGTTCAACAAATCATATTGCAATTAATACAATAATTATATCAGCCACATTTAAAGTATGTATTTATATCCATATATATCTTTGAGAGATGCATGTGGTTCTTTGTTGTACTTTGTTTTACGTAGAAAATTAACTCCCAGCAACCAGGAAGGTTAAACTGAATCCGCTTCGTCAAATAAAATTATTATTTACATGTATAAATTCACTGTGAAATATGATAAGTAAAACAAATGAACCAACTTAACACAATCATAAAATGCACTTGCTCGAACAAACCACATTTTATAGTCACTCATTAATTCTATAATTTTCCTTGTCTTTTTTAAAATCCAATCATAAATTCATAAGAATGAAAACATTTCTTTTCCCTACAATTTTTTTTTCTCAGCCACTAGGAATCTTATAGATGCGGCAGGGTTCAAAATTAAGGTATTCACTATTCCCCATCACAAAAATGAACCTTTAGAAAATGTAAAGGGCGCATAGATTCATATAATAATTAAAAATCCCAAAAAAATTGTCCCATAAACTGAGGTTGCTAATTTTCAACTAAAACAACTCTTATCTGGCGAACAGGAAGAGGAAAAATAAAAAGAGAAAAACCTCAATCCTAAAACAAGGCTATAAAATGTGTTATAATGTACATATTACACAAACAACAATTGCTTCCCTTTTACACAGAAAGGTCAGCCCACAACCAGAACATCCAATTATGCATGCAAAAATGTAGCATCAGCGCTATTCCTCGGCCAAATTTCCATATTGCCATGGATTGAAGTCCACGGATTTAACATCTTCTATGTCAGTGCTGCCTGAAACATCAGCCATTTTCCGATGCTCGGTGTACTTGCCATTGTACTGGTAGATTTCCAAGTCACCCCATGGTGTTGGTGCAATTTCGTCGGTCATATCAAACCATCTTGGTTTGAACTCATGTCCTTGTGCCTCTCTGTTTCTCTTTTCAGCTCTCTGCCTCTCCTCCAAACTAAAGAGATACAGAACGACAAAGCAAGCATCTTAGAATCAGAAGGAAACAGAATGAATGAAAGGATTAAGTTCACCATTGAGGCTTATCAACCAATTATCATCTAAACTCTATCTCACAACTTTCAATACATTTGTATACTCGCAAATTATACATAGATGATACTAAGAGAGATTCGATAGTTTGAGGCATGATCCAAGGAGTAACTGAGGGCATTCAAGAACGCTAACTTCACTTTTCTCAACTCTATGACCCTAGAATAAAACGGTATACATGTTATGTGAGAAATATAAGAGCATAACAAAGGGAAAGGGAAAAAGAGAAACCTGCTCTTTTCAGCACCAGCTTTGGATAGGTCCCCTTTCTCTAGTGCAGCTCTATCGGGGCGCAACCGAGAATCAGATGCTAACAACTTCTTGGGAGCAGTAGCGAAACTGTTTATTTTATGCGCAAAATAGGTGTACTGAAATTTGTCATTTTCAGGAGCAGCAGCAACTCGCCAAACCTGCTGATAGGTTAATAGTTAGCCATATGTCCATGTCAAGCAATATTTAATTGCCACACAACTGCAACAAAGCAAGAGGATTTTCTGATGTGTAGCGATATGCACATGCCTTTGCAGGAAACTAATTAAGCAGGACTTGGAGGATGCAGGTAATAGTTGCAAATCCTTACTCACGATTAGACAAGTTTTAGCATGACTTGACACCAGAAAACACACAAATAATACTAAGTGCAAAATAATAAACGATAGGATTTAAGTATTGAAAATATTGACCTTAGCAACTAACTCACAAAATAATAATCAATAGGATTTAAGTACTCGAACAACATGACCTTAGCAGCTAACTCATGCATATGGAAGCATGAAATATAATCACAAACTTGAGAATCAGACTTAAAAGCCAGATCCACCTTTTGCCCCCAGGCTTTGGTCTAAGTGGTAAGAGCAGAACATGTAATGTGTGGGTTAGGTGCACGTCACGAATTCAAATTATGTCGCAAACAAAAGCCTGATATTTAAGTGGAGAAGGGCAGAGCAGTGAGCCTATTATCTACCGAGTTTCGAACCATGTGCTGCTGGCCCTCGGAAAATTCTTGGTTATTAAAGAAAGGCGAAATGGCTTCCTGGCCACTTAAACTTGCAGCAGTTTGTAAAGCTGATATATGAACTCTTGGGTTTCACATTTGAACACCTTTACTTGAAAAAATGGCTATTAATAAACACTTGTAATGGTGTGTGTTGTTCAATTGCTGCTGACATGGATTTAATTTAATATTTTGTATAACCACATCATCCATTCATTCACATTTTGTTGACACCTGTATGTTCAAGGTTATCTAGGGATTTAATTAGTCACCCGCAATTATAGCAAAGACGAACATATACAACTATTGACACTCGCATTTTCCGATTAAAAACCAGCTCAGTGTCCCGTCGCCGGCGACTGGCCAAAAGAGCAGCTGCTAATAGGGAAGATGAACACAGACATAACAGCATCGGCAAAGCCGGAATACCCAGTTATAGATCGAAGCCCACCTTATACTAAGATAAGTGCCAATTTCAACACCCTCAATTACCTCCGTCTCACCACCATCTCCGGCATCTCCATCACTGTCGGCTACCTCTTCGGTAAACTCCTTTCTCTGCTTTACTTTTTATCAGTCAAATCTTATTAGTCAACTCTTAAATCAACCAAAACCCTAAGAAAAAACCCGTTAACAAATTATTGACCCAGATCAAATATCTGGGATCCACGTCTGATCCATCGAACAACCGAAACTTAACTTCTAACAAGTCCTCCTCCGACATTTGCAATCGCCCACCACCCTCTTTCTTCTTTACTTTTTTTCACCTCCCAAACCTAAATAAAAAGTGCCAGCATATAGAAAGCAAAGGTTACAGAAATTTGAAGTATTATTCAGCTTGATTGCATTGAATTGAAGCTGGACCAAAACGAATTACAGTAAGAAAGCTAAAATAAAGAGATAGAAATTGGGGAACCCTAGAGCGAACGTGAAAGAAAAGAGAGTATGTGACTGAAGTTGGTCGAGGGTATGAGGATATCTTAATTATGTATGTGACAGTTACGTATATAGGTGGGAGGGAGGAGAAAGGAGAAGGGAAAGGGAAAGATCTCTTTTTTTATTTTTATTTTTTTGGTCTCATTTATATTTTATTTTGATTCTCATATTTTTTTAATAAAATCAATACATTCCACGCGCCTTTGCAGCGTGATTTGCACACAATTTAGCCATGTCAGCTGCGCCGCTTCGACATGGCATAGTCAACGGTCAAATGTGTTTAATTGTATCTATTGCAT